CTGGAAAGCACATATCATGACTTCCTCCTTTTGCTTTTGGTTGTTTTTTTCTTTTTCTTCTTTTTGGTTGCTCTTTCTTTATTCTTTCCTTTTTTTTTTTGCCAACAGCAGCTCCATACACTGGAGGCTGCTCTAGAAGATTTATTTTTATTTATTTATTTATTGGATTTGTATCCCGCCCTCCCCTCCAATGGGGAGTGGTTTGGCATATGTCTCAAGGCAATGAAAATTCCTTTTTCTGAATGAGATTCCAGAAATTCCATTGTAAGAACGGAAATTTCTCATGTAAGCTTTTGGATCCCTGTCATGATGGATATGGGTCAAAATGACGAGTATAACCACTTAGAGGTTTAGACTGAGGCGCCATCACTAAGGTGATGATGCCCAGATATATGAAGCTTACGTTTTATAGTATGAATTTTTATATAATGCTTGGCTACAATTGATAACTGGAGCCAGGCAAGCCCACAGAAATTGAATCCAGGCAAGAATGAGGTAATAATGGTTGGCAAGTCTTACGACCTGAAGGGAATGCATCCACAGTCACGGATAAGGTTCAGCCTCCCCTGACCATCCAACTAATAACCCTGGATCACTGCACTGATAAAAGTGACTAGGAGCCCTTTCCACCAGCTTCTTCTGGGGTAAAGGCCTGCAAGCCTTGCAGTCAGATTCAGACCAGTCAACTGTCATTCATGTCTTCATAATGTCAAGACTGAGCAACTCTTGTTTCACACTAGATTTCAAGCTCACTCTGCAGGGATCATGTCATTTCTTGCATGCATCTAGCATATGCTAGTATCATAGTAAATAGTAGTGTTATTTACCAAAGTCTACCTTTGGGGGGAATTAAAATGCTACAGTTGGCACACAGTTGGTGTGCAACAAGACAGCCTATCTCCCTATGCTCCTGAATCTGGGAAGCCTTTATATTGCCTTACAGACACAGTCCATGATGCTGGATCTGACTAGTATGGTGCTAAACATGTGGGGTCTACATACATGAGGAACCAATGCCTTCCCTTTGTGCCACATAATTCATCATAAGCAGTCTTTGGGGAGCCAGAGTGGTGTCACAGTTAGAATGTCAGACCAGGATCTTGGAGACCCAGGAGCAAATCCCCACTTTGCCATGGGAGCTTGCTGGGTAGCCTTGGGGCAGCCACACATTCTCAGTCTAACCTACCTCAAGAGGGTGGTTGGTATAAGGATAATATGTACAAGGACAGAATGTTGTGAGCCACTTTGCATCCCCACTGGGGAGAAATGTGGGACATGAAGGAAGTAAACAAACAAATGAATAAATAAATAGTATCTTCTGACTGTCAAGAGTGTTGTTTTTTAAAAAAAACAGACTCCCAGAACCAAGAAGGGCACAAAAAGAGGTATACTTGGCAGTGGCTCTCCAGCTTGAAACCAAATCTGATGCTTCACCCTGTTCCTTGAGGAAGTGCAATTTTATATTCAGACAAATGTTTGACGGCAAGGGATATGCAGCAGGTTAGATATAAATAAAAGAACACTATAAGACTCTCAGAATCAATAGAACAGGACATGTTATAATTTCTAAATAAATAGCTTGATCGCATACGCCTAAGCATACTCTCTGAACTGAAATGGAGCCAAATGAACACGACAGTACCGATCTCTTGTTTTTCAGCCTCTGACAACATGGGGATAGTAGTCCACAAACTGGACCAAATATTAGTAGTTGAATTGCCATAGTTAATAGCAAACTCATTGTGGTGGGCATATACCCAGCAGGTAGAAGAGACCACGTATACTAAGCAAATCACTACTATGAACACCTTTACTGAATGATGCTTTGCAGACTCAGTGGCAATAGAGAAAAATATTGTTTTAACATGTTATCATAGGAGCAATTGTGCAGTAATATATAGTGGTCAGATCTAGGAACCAAGAGGAAAGGTGGGATCTAAATGATTTAATAAACACACACAAACCCTGGTTCAAATTCCCACACTGCCACAGAAGCTTGCTGGCTGACCTTGGGCCAATCAGACACTCTCAGCATAACCTACCTCACAGAGTTGTTTTGAGGGGAAAATGGAGGAAATGAAAATGCACATAAGCCACATTGAGTCCCCAATGAGGGGAAAGGCAGGGTATAACTGAAAATATATACATATACTTAAGCTAACATTTCACTGGACAATGCACCTGGAAGAGAAGAAGAGATTGGATTTATACCCCGCCCTTCACTACCAGAGGGAGTCTCAGAGCGGCTTACAATCTCCTTTCCCTTCCCCTCCCCACAACAACCACCCAGTGAGGTAGGTGGGGCTGAAAGAGCTCTTTCGAGGACTGCTCTTTCCAGAACAGCTCTGAGAGAACTGTGACTGACCCAGGGTCATGCCAGCAGCTGCATGTGGAGGAGTGGGGAATCAAACCTGGTTCTCCCAGATTAGAGTCCACGCTCTTAACCACTACACCAAACTGCCCCTTTATACACACTTTATACACACTTTTCAAAAAGCAATATAGCCTCATTTCATTACAGCTGATGAGATCTGCCCGTGGTATAGTGACTATCCTCAAATTGGGGGGGGGGGCTGCCTTTCCACAGGAACACCAAAAAAATTAAAATAGCTAAAAGAAAGAACATGCAGATGTACAACTTCAAAAACTGGTTAGGGGGATATTTGCGCTAAGCGATCATATTCTACTTATTTTTAAAACATCAATTAGAGTTGCCAGCTCTGAGTTTGGAAATACCTAGCGATTTTAGGAGTGGAGGCTGGGAGGTTAGGGGCGGAGAAGGTCTTCAGTGGGGCATAATGGCACAGAGTCCACCTTCCAAAGCAGCCATTTTCTCCAGGTGAACTGATTTCTGTCACCTGGAGATCAGTTTGTAATCCCAGGAGATCTCCACCCACCACATGGAGGTTGGCAGCCCTAACATCAATACAAATACACAGAGCTCCCTCACAAACAGGGCCGTAGCCGGAAACTCTTGGATGGTGGGGCGTTGGGGAATCCAGGGGGCGGGGGAGCAGGAGGAAGAGGGAGCGGCCCTGTCTGCAATCAAAGTTGGCTGAGGAAGCAGAAGGAAGACACACACCCCTGAACCTCTCCAACTGTCAGAGAGGCACATACTCCTAAGGTATTCTTCCTGCTTCTGCAGCCAACTTTGGCTGCGGAAACAGGAAGACCCAGGGAGCCTGGGCCTCTCTGACAGTATGGCATGGCAGCTAATGCAGGCTCCAGAGAAATTTGGAGGGAGCGGGAGGGATGGGAAGTGATGGGGCAGGGCTAATTTGATGGGGGGCATCACCCCAAAATGCCCCACTGTGGCTACAGGCCTGAATCATAGAATCAACAAATCACAGAGTTGGAAGGGGCCATACAGGCCAGCTCGTCCAACCCCCTGCTCAATGCAGGATCAGCCTAGAGCATCCCTGACAAGTGTTTGTCCAGCCACTGCTCAAGGACTGCCAGGGAAGGGGAGTTCACCATCACACTAGGTAACTGATTCCACTGTTGAACAACTCTTACTGTGAAAAAGCTTTCCTAAAATCCAGCCAGTACCTTCCCGTCCTTAATTTAAACCCATTCTTGCGAGTCCTATCCTCTGCTGCCAACAGGAACAGCTCCCTGCCCTCCTCTAAGTGACAGCCTTTCAAATACTTCAAGAGAGCAATCCTGTCCCCCCCTCAACCTCCTCTTCTCCAAACTAAAGCAGCTTGCTCGATCCTCAGTATGCACAGTACACATACAAAGTATTGTGGGGTCACAAAAACACACGAAAATCACTCACATCGTAACTTTATTTTTCAGCTGATAAACATTTTGACTTGAAATACACTTTTAAAAAAACTATTAGAACACTTATATGGCTAATTTTCACACCACTATATGGCAGGATTTGTCAGGATTTCTTGTGGCAGGATTTGTCATAACAAAACTGAGGCTCCAGTCCTATGCACATTTGTTGGAAGCAAGTCCCACTGAACCAAGTGGAATTTATTTCCAGCAAACGTGCAATAAGACGATTGTAAATGTCACCAATAGATTAATAGTGGTATCTTCAGCTGAGAGGAATACTTCTGGATGCTTTTTAAGGTATTGATTTGCAGTTTAGGGGAACAGAGGGGAAAGGCATCAAAAAGAGTCCTCCTGTAGAAGAGTTTTTTCTGTTCAGTTTTTTTTATTATAAAATATGAACATTTCAAATCGCTGAAGTTCATCTGAAAAGTTAGAGACTTATTTTACTGTAAAAATAGGATACGGGATTCCGTTCAAATATAAAGAACGCACAGGAGAAATAACTACCTGTACCTTCTATATGGTCCATCACCTACAAGTACAGGTTTTCCCACAAACCTTTGAGACTGAATTTTTAAACTAAGCATCTTAACTTTTAAAGCAAGCAAGTACAGATTGGTTTTGATCTGGGGTGAACTTCTAATCAATTATATTCCAAAAAAGCTAGCCAATGTCCTTAGATACCTACTCCTTCCAAAGCAGGAACACTGGATGCTTCAAAAACAAATACAAAAGTACCATATATTCCTTCTATGTTATTACTTGAACCTATATTATGTAGAATGCAGGTGCTTGCACAAAATAAAGTGTGTTGGTCTGTAAATGATACTTTCTATCTCAAGCCAAAACCCAGACCAGACCCTCACAGTCAAAGACAGCAAAACACATAATTAAATAACTCAAGTTCTTAGCACTTAAAAACATGGGATATGGATTTAATTTCTTCACATTAGCTAGCGGATGCCAGCAAAGAGAGAAAGATGGCAGTTACAAGGGACAAAGCCAAAACAACACAATTCCCCCCCCACACACACACACACACTCACCCACACACGCACACACACACACACACACTCTCGTGTTGTGCAAACCCTTGCCTGTGGCTTTTGACAGCTCCCAGGGAGGAGCTTTCCATTACATTGTTTGCAAAAGTCACCCTGCTCTGGCGAAAATCAGACTATACCCTATCTACACATACAAGCAAAAGCAGTATTATGTCAGGAACAATACTGAAAACCTCTCGAGTGACCAGAAAGGCGGCGGCAGCAGCAAACCTGAAACGCACCTACTTCATTGAACTCAGCGAGGCTTACTTCGGAGTAAACACGGGGAGGCTTGCCCTGAGGCAGCAAGAATACCGGAGAAAGCGAAGGCTGAACTTAAATCAGAAAGAGAAAAGGGGACGGCGACAAAGGAGGAAAGGGAGACCGAGGAGCAGGAAGAGGAAAGGGAAACCAGGGAGAGAGCCGTTCCAATCTGGGATGGACGGGTGGGGGGAGGAAGTTAGAAGTACACAAACTGAGATGGGTGGGGGGCAGGGGTGGTGACACCGGGTGGCGGCGGCCAGGAACGGGAGAAAGTGGGAAAGAGCAACAGACATGAAGAGGAACCGATTTAGAGTCCCAGTGGCCTCTTTAAGACCAAAGCTCACACCTTTAATCAGCCTTTTGTCGGCCTTAAAGGTGCCCCTGGACCCTTCAATTGGTTCCACTGCTTCAGACCAACAGGGCTGACCGCCTAGAAATGAAAAGGGCGATTAAAAGGGGGTGAGCTGGGGGCCACCCTCGAGCAGGCGCTGGGGCAGGGGAAAGAAAGAAAGAAAGAGAGAAAGACAGAGAGAAAGAAGGAAAGAAAGACAGAAAGAGACAGAAAGAAAGAGAGAGAGAGATAGAAGGAAAGAAAAAGAAAGACAGAAAAAGACAGAAAGAGAGAGAGAAAGACAGAAAGAAAGAAAAAAGAAAGAAACACAGAGGTGGAAAGAAAAGCAATTAGATGTGGAGGAAGAGAGGGAGGGAGGGAGGGAGGGAGGGAGGGAGGAGGGAGGGCGGCCGCCTCCGCCGCCGCTGCCAGCCTCTCTTCTCTCCTCCCTGCCCAAAGCGTCTCCCTTCTTCGCCTCTCCTTCCTTCTCCCCCGCTCTCTCCCGCGGGCCTGACACGCACGCTCCGAACTTACTTCTTTCTGACTCTCTGGATAGGGGAAGCGCCATCTTTGCGAGGCCGGCCCCGAGGTCTTTTGTCTGTGGCGGCTGCCGTGGGGGGAACTCCAGGCTCGGGGAGTTGTGGCGGCGGCGGCCCTGGCTGCTGTGGCTGCTGCTGCTCCGCCGCCCGCGTCAGGCTCTGCTGCTGCTCCTCGGCTGACATCCTAGTCAGCAGGACGACACATGGGGGAGGAGGACGACGACGACGAGGGGCTGGCGGGGGGGAAGCCGCCGCCGCTGCTGCTGCTGAGCCCGACGCTCCTCCTGCTCCGGTTGCTGCCGCCGCGGCTGTTCTCCCTCTTCGCCTTCGCCTTCGCCGCCTCCTTCTCCTCCTCCGCCTCCTCTACCTCCGCCTCGCATTGCTGGCCTCAGCCGCCGCGGACCAGCGCGCAGGTAGCAGCATGGGGAGGAGGGGAGGGGAGAGCCCGCCTCAGCTCACAGGGAGACCCTTTCGGGGCTGAGGGGAGGGAGGGAGGGAGGGAGGAGAAGGCGGCGGGAGGGGG